GGTGAACCAGAAAAGTTTGGGTAGAGCCGGATCTAAGCGTTGGCTAGGTAAGCGCCCTGTAGTAAGAGGAGTAGTTATGAACCCTGTAGACCATCCACATGGGGGTGGTGAAGGGAGGGCCCCAATTGGTAGAAAACAACCGACAACCCCTTGGGGTTATCCTGCACTTGGAAAAGAAGTAGAAAAAGGAATAAATATTAGTGATAATTGATTCTTCGTCGCCGTAGTTAAATAGGAGAGAAATAGAATTTCTTTCTTCGTCTTTACAAAACAAAAAATAGGAGGAAGGCTGCTGTGACACGTTCACTAAAAAAAAAATCCGTTTGTAGCGAATAATTTATTAAAAAAAATAAATAAGCTTAACACAAAAGCAGAGAAAAAGAATAATAATAAACCTGGTCCCGGCATCTACCATTATACCCATAATGGTCGGCCATACTATTGCTATCCATAATGGAAAGGAACATTTACCTATTTATATAACAGATCGTATGGTAGGACACAAATTGGGAGAATTCGTTTTAATTTCTATCATTATAATTATTTAAAATATCAAACATTGTTTTTTTGATTTTAAAAGTAATAATACAATCATTTATATAGGGTTACTTTTAACTATTGTTATTATAAATTATTTTAAGCTACTTATTTGAAATTTGAACGATTATAAAAATATATTTAAGAAATATTTTAGTTAAATTGAGATTAAAATTTAGTTTTTGCATTTAGCACTACAATTTATCACTTTTAACTATTCACAAAATATTCAGTGGGTATTTTAAGTGGAACTAAATTTATATTTAAGTTGGCACTGTAATTTTATATTTAAATTAACAATTTAAGTATTTTGTCCAAACTATTCAAAAGTTGTAGCTTTAAACTGATAATGGTTTACATACAACAACATATTAAATTTAATAAATTAAGTATAATATGTTATAAGTTAAATTCAAAACTTTATAAGTAGAAGTAAATATATTATTTTAATATTGAAATTTAGTTTATTTATGGTTACACTTTAGGTTTGATATTTATTTAACCTTATTAACCAAATTATAATCATTATTAGAAATACACTATAATTTATCACTTTTAACTATTTACAAAATATTATTTGGGTTGTTTAAGTTAAACTAAAATTTATATTTAAGTTGACCCTGTAATATTATATTTAAATTAATAATTTAAGTATTTTTTACAAATTGTTCAAAAGTTATAGCTTTAAAATGATAATGGTTTACATCCAAAAATATATTAAAATTAATAAATTAAGTATAATATGTTAAAAGTTAAAAAACATAAGTTTATATGTAGAATTAAATATATTTTTTAATATTGAAATTTAATTTACATATGATTACACTTTAGTTTTGATATTTATTTAACCTTATAACCAGTTAGTTATAATCATTATTAGAAAGAAAGTGAAAAGTCATGGGCGTTTCAAATGAATGTGGTGAAAGGAAAAATACATGGGAGTTTCAAATGAATGTGGTGAAAGGAAAAATGCTTCCTTTATAATATAGTATGATATAATATGATATGATATGATATATATATATATATATATATATATATATATATATATATATATATATATCTATATATATATATATATTATTCAATTTAATACTTTGTTTTAGCATTTTTCCTAAATCATAAACTAGGACTACTAAAATAAAAAAAAACCGTATTTCAAATAAATATGAAAGATTTTTAAGTATAACTTAAAAAAAAGGCAAACGAATAAAGTGGAAACCTACTCGCAATATTTAAACAAACACCCCGAATTCGAGCTCCTTTGTTGGGATATATATATATATATATATAGTTATTTTATTCGATTTAATAGTCTGTTTTAGTATTTTTCCTAAATCACAAACTAGGACTACTAAAATTAAAAAAAAAAACAAATTTCAAATAAATATGAAAGATTACTATGTATAACTTGTTTTTTTATTTTTTGGGAAAGGCTAATGAATTATGTGAAAGCATACTTGCAAGAGGTAGTTTAAGAGAATCGAACTCCCAACCTCACACCCCACATGTGTATAAAATCTGATGCTTCAACACACCTAGACTGGACATCATTTGCTATGTATAACTTATTAATGTTGATATCTTATAATCTGATCAGAGTTTATTTTTATAAAATTATGTTACTTCTGTTAAGATGCATATGCATATACAAACAATAAACATAAATATAATTACATCGTCTTTCTTATTTGATTTAATCTGTGCATTTGATTCTACCATAGAGTACACCATGCTCTATCAAAGCACGGGTTGGTGGTAGGAGTGTTGTTATTTTTAGCATAGTCATGCATGGTTTTGATATAGCTATTGTATGGTGGAGTACTGATATGTAGCATACATATATTATATATATATCTATCTATATATATATACTATTATTATATATATTATATATATATATATATATATATATATACTATATATATATATATATATATATAATATATTGACGACAGCGGCTATGGGTGAAGGATTCCTAGCTCGTGATGTAACATTTGAGAATACAGCCGGAGCCTCGGGTCATCAAGCTGTGGCACTACGTGTTGGATCCGATTTATCTGCGTTTTATAGATGTAATATGATCGCATTCCAAGATACCCTTTATGTCACCTCCGGACGTCAGTTTTTCGTCAAGTGCACGATCGTCGGACTGTTGATTTTATTTTTGGTAATGCTGCAGTTGTATTCCAATTATGTGACATCCTTGCCCGTCGTCCTAATCCCAAGCAAGGAAACATGGTCACTGCTCAAGGCCGAACCGATCCTCAACAAAACACTGGCATCGTTATCCAAGGTTGCAAAATAGCTGCAACTACTGACCTAGAACCGGTTAAAGCCAATTTCAAAACGTATCTGGGAAGGCCATGGAAAAACTATTCAAGAACAGTGATCATGCAATCGTTCATTAGTGACGTGATAGATCCTAAAGGATGGTCCCCTTGGGAAGGAGATTTCGCACTCAATACTTTGTATTATCGAGAGTACCGTAACCGGGGGCCTGGGGCTGATACGTCAAAGAGGGTAAAGTGGAAAGGTTGGGGTGTGATGTGGACTGCGTTTGATGCGATGCCTTTCTCCGTTGGAATCTTTATCAATGGTTGGTATTGGTTGCCATTCACTGGCTTCCCTTTCTGGCTTCTTTTGTAACAGTAATGATAACTATTTCTTGATTAACAACACCTTTGAATTGGGTTGTGATACTTTCCTTAGTTTTTTTAGTAAATCAAATAAAACGTTTGATAGGGTGAGGAACGTATAATTTGTAACACGATTGGTATACCATCAAAGTGTATAATACATTTAATCAGAAATTTATTGGGGTTTGAAATAATGTACCTAATAATATGTTGATGATTGTAATGTTTTCTTCGATAACTTCTATTATTCATCTCAAATTTAGAAAACTTGTTAGGTTTTCTGCGTTCCTTTCTGGTATGTAGTGTTGTTTTTACCAACATAATGCACTAAAAACGTATTTTATAATAATATAAAAAATAACGTAACTTTATAACAATATAAACATAAAAATAGATTGGGACTGAAATATGTAATGTCCAATATTGAGACAAATTTTGTGTAGATAATTTTTTTTTAAAACATAAATCAATTAGAAACAGAGAAACAGAGGAGGGCTTAAATGCTAGTTACATTAGAGCATTACATTACAGAGCAATATAAGCGTGACTCGAGAGTGAAACCAATTACACAAATCTTGTTTAAACTTAAAGCAAATTTATCTTACTCACAAAAGTCTTTCTTGTAAACTCCATTTACAATTGATAAGTGAAGAAGGCGATTGAGATATGTTGTAGTGATAAAGTGTCGAGACCGGGAGGATTTTTCATTTTCTTTCCTCAATTAATTTTGCTAAACTATTGGAGAGGATGTCCTTCTTGATTGGTCACTATGAGAGATCCTTGATCATTAGGTAATTTTAGAACTATTCTTTTACCACTTTGGTGCCTAAACTAATTGACTAGTTATCTATTTCTTATTATAGAGCCATTAACCACAAGTTTATACGATCATCTTGAAAGTTCATGTAGAAAGACCAAAAATAGTAATTGATGGGCTTTTTAGTTCGGCCCAAATGATCTTTCATTAATGGTCGCAACATCGATTACAGACCTTTGTTTATCAATGAGATTATCTCACGGGTTAAGAAAGATACTACAAAGGCTTTAATTATAAATAATGAATTCAAAAATTGCTTGATTCGCTAAGTTTGACCTTCTAGTGGAAAAAACATGGAACAGATGGTATTTGGGTGGAAATTGAGAACTTGGTATCTACGTTATCTCTTGTCATCTTTCTAATCTATTATTATCAATGGGACACCATCTAAGGATTTTAATTGAGAAGGGTCACATCAAGAATATTACAGATTGTATTTTCCCATAAATTTGGCATTATGCCACTCACATATATTAAATATCTCAAAATACAAAAATAAGTACATTGGGCTAACTACAATACCTCAAAATACAAATAGGCTACAAATGAGTACATTGGGCTAACTACAAAATTGGGTTGCCTAACCAAGCCAACTAATAAGATACAAACAATATAAAATATTACATACATATACGTCTAACATCCCCCTCAGTCCGAACGGGTGATCTAGAACGGATGTTCAGGCTGGATCTAAAATCATGAAACAGAGTAAATAGAAGCTCATTGGTGAATATATCAGCATATTGTAACGAAGATGCCAAGATGGGACATGAACTCGGATTTTCCCCAAAGTAACTTTATCACACATAAAGTGTATGTCAATCTCAATGTGTTTTGTGTGTTGGTACTAAATTGGATTGGTTGACAATTACATTGCACTAATGTTATCACAGTAAACCAGAGTATGTGACAACTGTCAACTTTGGGTCAAACAAAGTCAGCAAGTCAACTCGGTCAACTCGACTTGTACTAGTACGTTAGGGTTTACACTATGTTTCCTAATGTAAAACTTACTATCATAATACAAAGTATCACTCGGAATTTGCAAATTGTCAAATATAAACCCTAGATAGGGTGAGTAACGTAACAACGCGATAAAAATTCAACTACGTATCCTTCAGGGATAAATAACACTCATACCACGACATAGTGGAGTTCAAATCCTAACACTACGGGGCACAACCATAACAAAGACTACAAACACAATCTTTCTCAATCTCTCTCTCTCTCTCTCTCTCTCTCTCTCTCTCTCCTAAATCTCTCTCAAATCTCTCCCAAATCTCTCTCAGTAACAAGAATCACACTTCCAAACTTTTCCGTAAACACACATACCATCCCAACCCTTTAATGTGTTGAAAACCAACCGAAATAGGAGGAGAAAATGGGAAACAGCAAGCTCACTACGAACCCTATCACTCTCACAGCGAACCCTCTCGCAGTGACCCTCTCGTAGCCCTCTCGTAGTGACCCTCTCGAAGTAACCCTCTCGCATCGGACAATCTTGCAGCGAAAACCTTCGCATCCGAACGTCGCAACCCATACTTTCACATCTCTGACTCTCGCAGCCTGCACCTTCGCATGCGAACCTTCGCAGCCTGCGAAGGTTTCGCACCCAAAACCCTACAGAACGCCTTCTAACTTCGGATTTTTGACAGTTTCAGACTTTCGTCATTTTTAAGAGTTTTTGACGTCGGATTTCCATCAAACTCATATTTTTCACATCTTAGACCTCCTAAACTAATATTTTAATGCTCTTATTTAAGCTTTATTAAATATAAAACACACATTTGCATAAAATAATATCTAAAGGTCATAAAAATATTACATTATTTTATACTTAAAGTAATGGCACAAGTGGATCAAGTGGATCCTCCATCAAGCCCAAGTCACCTTTATGTCACTTCTCTAATCTTCATTGGTCAATTCATTATCCCTTTACACATCCCAACAACCCATCCAATTGCTTATTTCTCCCTTTAAAAAGAATGATCACGAGATGAAAATCTCACTTCACCATTTCCTCCAAAATTTCACTTTCTCTCCACAAAAGAACTCCCACCCTCTCCCTCCAGCCACGTTTTTGCAAGATCATTATTAGGTTCCTTTTTGGTAAGTATTTCCTCCAACTTCTAAGATTTCTACATACTTCCATAAAAATCGTAAACCATTTACACATATATTCACATATTAATGTCCATAGGATCATCAAAATCTCCAAGCATTTTCAAGTGCTCTTGACTTCAAACTCTTCATCAACCTTCCACTCATCAAGAAAACCCAAAAGGTGAGTTCATACCCCTACATTTTCGATTTTTTTCCCAAGATTTTAGGGGGGGGGGGATACAAGTCATGTCACTAAAAAAATCTAAACTTAAAAATCAGCTTTTCCAGAAAAGTTGAGGTCTGTTCACAGACTGTTTACCCATCTTAAACTTAATATTTTTAAAAACTGTACAATATGAAAATAGTACAGGTCTATACCTTTTTGAGGACCACTCGCACGCATTCATACGATTTTTCTACGATTTATGGTGATTTTTACAAAACTGTCTGTCATTTCAGAACAATTTCGGACCAATCTGTGAAAATGAACATTTTCACTCTGGTTAGGAACCACTTAAGGTCAGGATAAAAACTATGGACAAAGTAGACTCATTTTCTAAGCTCTGAGAGTTTACAATCCCAGTTTTTGACTTCCGATGATTTTTCTACAATTTTTCTAAAAACATGAACAGAAAAGTTAAAAACTAGAAAAATGACCATTTCGTACAAATGATTCACGTATTTATGTTTGATGTAAAAATAATTATTGGATGTGAATATCTAAGTATATTAACCCCTATGTAAGTATAAATACATACATATGGGTGCGAAAACTGAATACTATAATAAAGTATTCTAGTATGGTTTATAAAACATCAACACTTTGTAACATGTTGAGCAAAGTGTATAATATTAAGGAAATGTATATGATTATTTTCATGCTATTTTATTTCCATGAAAAGGTGATAATCATACATATAAAGGTTTTTCATCACTACAAAACATTTATGATAAGCTATAATCGGTATAGTTTATGGGTCTTTTACACTATGAAATTTACATACGAAAGGTTATTATTCCACTTACAAAAGGGTTTTCATTACACTACACGTAAAATCGTTGAATCAAACTTTGTGAGCCAAAATCTTCACGTACAAATTAGTATACCTACAAAAGTCCTGTATTATAACCGGAGTCTCCAGTAAGGGAGCGTGATAATTGTGTATAGATCTATACGAGACTGACAATCCCGCACCTAAGCTGCTTGCAACAGCTAGACCGGCAGGTCTGGGGTGACAAAAGTCATAACATTCCGAAGCCTGAAGAACGTCGTAACAGGCCATCTATGTCGATAGCACGTTTATAGTAACTCACATAGGGAAACAACGATACATATAGTTTACGAGGATGCATATACTCAAACGGTTTTATATTTTTTAAAACTGCACATAATATTATAAGTATGGAAAATACTTGTACATTTCGGTCTTTGGGCTTTAAGACTACAACTCATTTCAAAAAGGAAAATATTGGATTTTTGGAACGAACACTATCTTTTTATAAAGAAAGACTTTCAACTCTACATACAAACGCTGATGAACTCACCAAATTAATTGTTTACGCTCTTTCAAGACTACTTGTATTCTCAGGTAATCACTAAAACATGTAACTGCCAGCTTTTAAGGATGGGACGCTAAGACGTCAGACAAATCATTTTTTATCATCATTTTGTAATTGATTTTGAACCATATAACTCATGAAATAATGTAACATTTTCAAATATATTTATGATGGTTGTTTTTGCTTTGGTCACTAATATTCTCTATGTTATGATACAATACATGAAAGTCATCCACCCCCGGACGTTTCCGCCATCCTGGTTTGGGGGTGTGACAGAGTAGAAGTAAGAGGTGGGTATAATAACTCATGTAGAAGGTTGTGAAGCTAACTCATCTCGGCAACGACATTTGCAACACCTCGATACTCAGTTTCAACATTAGACCAGAGGTATTTCCTTGTTTCACAGAATTTTTATCTTCCTTTCCAAAATAGCAACCGACTGCTCCACGTAGTTCAGGTGCTCGTCAACCTGAACATCATCCAACGATACTACCGCATCCTCATCCAATAAGCACTTCAGCAAATGGGAA